AAGGAAATATTATATTATTGTTCAAAGCTCCTACACTCGGACATCCTATCAAGATACATCTAATCTTATTTAAAAATAGAAAGCAAATTACTCAATTCAGGAAGGTATTAGTATAGACTTTCCTGAATGATTAAGGCTATGAAGTTCCTATGTGTCATGGTGAAATTTTAAGTTTCCAGGATTGCACACCATCCCAGCCTTAGCCAGTTTTCTCTTGTGATCACTCCTACCTCCTAAGACGGTGCTTTCCTTTACATATTCAGCATAAGCATCCTTTCTGCACAACAGTGACACTGCAGGATCAGGAGCAGAGGAGCGTAGGAGAGAGGGAAGCTTGCTCACCTTAGGAGCCACAGTGTTCTTCCATAGCATCGGCTGATTTTAAACATCAGCAGTCGTAAGCATCCCATAAAGGATATGATACAGTGTGATTTGCAAATTCTGATTCCCTATATTCATGAACTATTTTTACATTATGATTAAAAATATGCTTGTGAGCACTTACTACCACAATTTGGAGCTCTGACTGAACACAGAGGATTAAAATAAAGCCTCAGCTTTCATATTAAAAAAATTAAAATCCTGTGGAGAAAATTATAGTGATATGCTTTATAATTGATATAAAATTCAACTCTATGAAAAGTGTAACAGGTCTGATACTCAGATTGTTCCCCCAGAGAAACACAATTTTTTAAATGTCCTAAATGGGCTTCATAAGAAATGTTTTTGTTCACATTTAATAATTTATTTCATGCTCTTTTGGATATTTTAGTAATGTAAGACACTTAACAATGGAAAGTAAAGGGTTATGTGTTTCTGCTTTTTAGTTTGATTCATTAGTACTCTCACTCGTACTGTGTAAGGAAGGTGGCAAGTAAAAAACCTTCCTAATTTGCATTAAGTAGTGTAAATTTCCAAAGTAATAGCTGTATTTGGACTTGAAGATAATTTTATCAAATTTTTGCAAGCCTGTGTGGTTTGGTGTATAGATTAGTTGAAGGAAAGATAATTATAGCATCTTTAGAACATGTTTGCCTTTGTCAATATCTATATCTGGGCCCCATTAGGCTTATGTAACTGTCAACCCTAGCTCTGCCAATTTTTTTTTTAAGATTTATTTTATTTTTATTCGAAAGGCAGATATACAGAGAGGAGAGACAGAGAGGAAGACCCCCCCAAGTGAGCACAACGACTGATGCTGAGCCAGTCCAAAGCCAAGAGTCTCTCCCGGGTCTCCCATGCGGGTACAGGGTCCCAAGGCTTTGGGCCGTCCTTGACTGCTTTCCCAGGCCACAAACAGGGAGCTGGATGGGAAGTGGGGCTGCCAGGATTAGAACCAGCGCGCCTATGAGATCCTGGCGCGTGCAAGGTGAGGACCTTAACCATTACACTACCGCGCCAGCCCCAGCTCTACCAATTCTTTACTGTATTGGGCCTAGAAGATTTAACACCTCAAACATTCAGCTTCCTCATTTGCAGAATAGGGGTAAACATTAAGGTTGATGTTCAGGGCTACTTTGAGGACTAAATGATGTAATATGTTAAAGAGCATTCAGCAGGGAGCAGTGTTGCAGCAGAGGAGTTCAGACATGACCTGCAATGCCAGTATCCCAGATGAGCACCTATCCAAGCTCCACGTGCCAGCTGCTCCACTCTCGCTCTCATTTATACACACCGTCACACACACATGTGTTTAATTGCCTTCAAATTAATAAATAGATAGCTTTTATAAATACAAATTTCCGATAGACTGCCTGGCCCTTAATGAAAGCTAACATCATATTAGATACTATGTTGTTTTTATATTTCACACCATCATTCAGCCAATTTTAATAAATTTTTAGACAAAGAGAAGTCAACCTTTCTTATTCGGAAATGGTAAATCACTATTGCACTCTAAATAATAACTATTTTCATCCTTTGAAAATAGAGTACAAAGCCCTGTTCTATGGTTTGGATGTGGTTTGTACCCAAAGGGTTGGTATTTTGCAGGCTTGATTCTCACTTTAAGAGGCATGAGCTAAGAGAAAGCTTTTAGGTTACCGAGGATACGCCCTCAGAAGAGTTAATACAGTTCTCCTGAGACTCCATTAGTTTCCAGGCACTGTTTGACTTCCTTTCTGGCTCTTACACATGCTTTTCCCTTATGGTTCTACCCACCAAGAGATCCTCACCAGATCTAAAAAGAGGCTGGCATCACACCTTTGGACAGCCAAGGCCATGAGCTAAATAACCTGTTTTTTTAAAAAGTTAATCAGAATCAGCCGTTTCATTATGGTAATAGATCCTGTATCATAATAGAAGTAATAGACCCTGTATCCTACACCCTCGGTGTTCTCCTTCGCTTAGAGGGGCCACACTTTTTTCAAGAGCAGTCTGTCACCATAGCTTCAATTCTTCATTCCTTATTCCAGCGTAAAGGAAGGGGGGAAAAGAAGGGAAAAGGTGAGATACAGGTGCAGAGATTACAGACAGAGAGTGAAAGAACAAGAGAAAAGAAGGAAGGAAGGAGAGAAGGAAGGAGGAAGGAAGGAGGGAAAGTGGGAGGGAGGGAAAGATGAAGATTAGAAAAGGTGAGAGGAAGAAGGAAGCAGGAAGGAGGGAAAGATTAAGATCAGAAGAAAAAAGACAGTGCAGGGGAAGGAGGGGACTGAGCAAAGAGACAAGGAAGGCCAAGGAAGAGGGGTTGAGGAGACAGAAACAGGGAAGGGAATGGAGGTAAGGGAGAATGAAAAGGAAACCAGATTATGTCTGAATATGGGCTCCTCTTCTACACATTTAAATTTTGCTCAGTGCCTTTCAGTTTTCTAACTTCATAATCAGTTTTTAGGTCTGATATTACTGACCTTTCTGGAACTTTCAATTACCTCTGTTTCACCTCTTCCATATATTGTCTTTCGTAATCTTTCCTGTGCTTCCTTTGAAATGCTGACATTAGAATTTCAAGCATTGTGCTCTTGAAATCAGCACTTTGTTGTTTTTTGACCCGTGTGTGTGTGTCTGTGTGTGTCTGTGTGTGTGTCTGTGTGCTTTATCTCTCTACCTAACATTTTCTTCATTGTTATTCAACTATCAAGTAATGTTTTTTTTTTGGTTATCCTTGCCAAACATATTGATAATATTTAGCTAGCTTTGCATATTTCTGAGTTAGTTCTGCCTCACTGGATTCAACCAGGTATAGAACAGAAATATTCAGGAGATATAAATATCTATGCTAAACATTTTTTCTCACTATTTAGATGCAATAATGTACATATCTGTGTCCATAAAGAGAATGTATATTTTATATTAAAAGCTACCTAGAGATGATTAAAGTGCACATGAACATTTACACAGATTGAATTAAAACACCACACCTTTTTATATAAAGAACATGGACAGTTGGGAATTTTAATATTTCCAAAGGGTTAAGGGATGTCTACATGTATAGTTGAACTGATCCCTCAGAGACACTGAGAAACACTTAATCAGGGTTCTTAATATCTTGGAAACAAGATAAAATTTTTAAAGGATGTTTTTAAATAATTAATTAATTTGAACGAGTTACAGGGAAAGGAAGAGGCAGACAAGAAAAAGAGAGAAGTTTCGATGTGTTGCAGGACTCGCCAGATGGCCACAGCGGCCAGGGTTGCCCCAGGCTGAAGCCAGAAGCCAGGACCTTTTCTAAGTCTCTTATGTGATTTACAGGGGCCAAATCACTTGACAAATGTTCCGTGTGTTTCCTAGGCACTCAACATAGAGCTGGAACAGAAGCAGAGCTAAGACTCTAAATAGTACGTACCGCTATAGGATGACAGTGCCCTAACCATCAGCGATACTCAGTGCTGGCCCCTGAAAATGAATTTTACTTTACTTAGTTTTGTTTGAATATTTGGTTAAATTTAAAACATAGGTCAAGGAGGTTATTGAATTCTGTGTTGTAAATTTTGTCTTTGAGGTTATAATGGGCCATGTAAGGGAAGAAGTCCTGCAGACCTTGTAGATGATATTCTGTAGTCTACATGTTACATGAAAATTGGACTTCATCTCTGGAAAACATTTTCTAGGAGTACCTGTGAAAGACCATATTTTCGAAGCTTGAATTCATACCCTAACATCATTTGCCAAACCACAAGAATATTTTTCTTGAAAGGATCTTAACTTCTGTGTTTCAACCATAATTCTATATTTTTTAGATTTCATTGTCTTACATACACTCACTGAAATTCAAAAACCTCTTCTTATCATTCATTAAGTATCTATTGAGGAAAGAATAAGTGACAAACCATATGCTAATCCCTGACAATAACATTGTGACCAAAATAAGTATAGTTAACTGGAGAGTGAGTGACGTTTATCATGGGAATGAGGAACAGGTGGTAAGTGGTTAACCATGTGTGGGAAGGAAAGCCAGTGAGATCTTACAGAATTACCCTTGCAAAGAGAGACTGAGAAATCTGAGGAAAAGAGGAAAGGCCTGGGTGAGAAAGGTTGATGGAGAACAATGGCACATGCGGATGTAGGCTTAGATTGGGTGAATGATGACTTTAGTTAAACGAGCATCACTCCAGCCTCAGTTTGATTAGCTCCAGACGTGTGGCCCAGCTCTAGGCACACACCTCAATAAACGGAAAATAAGAGTAAAAATGTCCTTTCATGTCTTCTGCTAAATTTGACTCCTTAAAATTTCCACCCATCTGATTGAATTTTAACAACTATATTGACATTGAATAAATTCTTTATTTTTAAAGCACACTGTGCAGTCCCTTGAAATGCATATATATCTGGGACAACAGTACCACACCAAATGTGTAACAATATCCATCGTGTCTGAATATTCCCAGGACTCTTTGAAGTTCTTACTTACCCAAGACCCCCATTTCCCCTGAGATGATTGACTGGTCTTCCTTGGGACAGTATCAAGTGTGTAAAATAAATATGTGGTAAAATAATGAAAATTGAATGTATCTGGAGAACTGGCTGTTGATTTTCACTTTGGTTGGTTGCGCTATCATTTCTAGGTGTGCAGTGCTGTTCAGAATCAGGATTTCACTGTGATCGAAGACTACTGTACTGGCCTCAAAGCCCTGCTTTATCTGAAAAGCATTGAAGAACTGCAAGACTGGGATGGACAGAGTCCAGCCACCGTGAGGCACCAAAAAGGGAAACCAGTTCTGCGCATTCCTGAACTCGTGGGCAAGGTATGTGTTCACTCTCTTTTGCCTCTAGAGAACTCTGCCTCACTCAGATTGTATTGCAGAACTTGCTTTCCTTCCCATTTACAGAGGAAACACCTATTAGATGTGATTCCTTCCGTAGAACCATGCTGAAGAAGGCTTGCTTATAACTCTAGGATAGGTCTGTGAATTACATTTTCATAGAATCAGTGTAACACAAACTCATATGACAGGCAGAGTGAAGTTTGTGGTATGAAACGCCTCCAAACTCTTGCTTCATGTTCTGAGGCCTAGAGTTCTGTCCCTCGGGAGCCTGATGATTTGTTTATTCTCTATCAATGTCTGAAAAGTATCACATTACCTTTCTATTTTAAAGACAATCAAATCACCAGAGTCCCTGAATAATATAATGAAGTTTTTAAAATTAAAATCAAATCAGTATCTTTTATAGCTGTTTCTTCCATGTGGTTGAATCTGGGCTCAAAAGGTTATGTCCCAACCTTCTCACTAACTGTTATTTTCTGAGAAATATACACTACATTTACATTTTATATAATACAGTGATTTTAGCAACCCCTTTCTAAGACAACATTCAGCATTTCGCCTTTGTATTTCTTTTGTGTTATTCTAAATAGACCACCATTGTAAGAAGACATTTCTGGAGTCCTGAATGAGAGGAGGAAAAAATTGTAATTCTTAGTCTTTTGAGCTTGTCACTACATCAATAATTAACTTTCTTAAAAAAGAGAAGCAGTATAAAAAGATTCTTTAAGGAAGCATTTAATAATTCAAATGAATCTTAACTTGAAACAAGTCACATGAAAAAGACTGAAAAACAAAAACCCTCGAGACTGTCTAGGATGAGAGAGTAAGGGACATAGAAATCATAGAAGCAACATTGCATAATTGACTTCGTAGTGTAATGCTGTCCCTTCTCTCAACAATCAAAAATAAAACCTCTTTGAGGACAAAACGTGAGTAACTGCAAGGCCAGTAATGAAAAAGAAGGAGAAAGAAAGAAAATCTTACAATGTGATTTCCAGGAAGAAATTGTGAAGAACGACTATATGAGTGGCAATCAACAGAAAGGCTGTGACATTAATATTTATAATATTGTAATTAGCAAGACAGTACCTAAGCAGCATTATTAGTGTAACTAATCATATTATCATAAACTGAGTTTGCTTCTTTAGACAGAATTCTTTGCTTTTATCGATGACTACCACTATTTTAAAGTTGCTTATGACTTTAAAAAATTCGCAAATGACTTATTCAGTGTAAATATCTCAGGGAGATTGTTTCTGACATGATAATTTGTGATCATCTATAATAGCATTGTCTCAAATTTGGGTGGTTGCCATGCGAGCTGAAATGCGAGTAACTGCCTTGCATTGTAACATTCTGTCTTTCAAGGATTTTCACATTCATTTCAAAACTTACGTATTCAAATAAAAGATGGGTAATGATGGGGACACTGCTGTCAATAACATAAATGGAAGTTGATTTTATAATGGTCTGAATCTAGATGCAGCTTTATTTTGGTGAGCCTAGCCTTCATCAAAATCTTAAGTATAATTTTCAGCATTATCATGTGATAAAAGAAAAAGGATTTCCTCTGTGTGGTTTATTAGTGATTCATGGCTCTAAGTTGAGCAACAAGCAGATGGTCTGGTAATAGATTTGTGCTCCTGGATTCTCCGGTGGAGACTGACATGACTCAAACAATAGGTGGATATACCCTTTAGGTTAATCCATAGCAGTGAGTCCCAGTGTTCTGAATGCTGGGGAACAGGTGTCTTCCTAATTGTCCTTTCTAAGTGGGGTGTGTGTGTGTGTGTGTGTCTTTGAAAACAGTTTATGTTATGCTTTTGTTAGCTAAAAGAATAGTCTGGTGTTCCTTATAGTGTTCTCATGCTGTAGAGAAGAGAAGAGACAGACTCTTTAGAAAGGTCCTCTAGGGCCCGATGTGGTAGCCTAGTAAGTGATGTACTCATCTTGCACTCACCGGATTTCCATATGGGCACTGGTTCTAATCCTGGCAGCCCTGCTTCCCATCCAGCTCCCTGCTTGTGGCCTGGGAAGGCAGTCGAGGACGGCCCAAAGCCTTGGGACCCTGCACCCGCGTGGGAGATCCGGAAGAGGCTCCGGGCTCCTGGTTTCAGATTGGTTCAGCTTTGGACATTGGTCACTTGGGGAGCAAATCAGCGGACAGAAGATCTTCTTGTCTGTCTTTCCTCCTCTCTGTATATCTGACTTTCCAATAATAAATAAATAAATCTGTAAAAAATAGAAGACCCTCTATAAAATAGTTCATTTCTTTAGGCACAAATTTTGTATTTGATGAAATATCATTGTTACTCTGCTTAATGTTTACTTGTAGAACAAAACAGAATAAATTAGTATGCTTGTAGAAATATATATGTTAATATATGTGTGTATGCATATATGTATATACACATGAACTATACATATACATGACATATATACATGAAATATATATGTATATATCTATGTTATGTGTATATACATATATGTGTGTGTATAGATAGATAGATGTAGAAAATCAATTCAGAATCTTGATGATGGACAGGAAGTGACACTTTGGCTATGGAAACAAGGATTTGGCAAAGTTAGGTTATCTCCCAAGACCTTTACGTTAAATACTTATACGATCTACTTAAGCTTACCCAAAGCAATGTTTATTCAAGAGGCTTTTAAGGGCACAAAGATGGTGGTTTATTTTAATGGTGTAAGTTGCATAAATTTGTGCTCACAAGAGACAGTAAATTCCTGGGAATAGCAATCATCCACTGCACCACATCATGTCCGGGTCAAAGTACTGGTGGCTAAAGACCATGTGGAATGCTCTTGAGATTCAGTGCAGCAGGGGCACATCTAGGAATCTTCATTGTAATGCTATGTGGCTCCCAAGGATCTGTATTGCAAAAAGAATGAAATGAGAATAGCAATAGAAAAGATAGAGATTGAAAAGTTATCAGAATGCAGGCTTCCCTGGATAGACAAAGACAGTAGCAAATGGTTTTGAGCTGATGGAGAAATTAACTAGAAAAAGGCTATAAACAAAATCTAGGTAAGTGATAAGATAGGTTCTGAATAGCCAAAGAGAGAATATGCCAGTGAGGAACCTGCAGGTAGGACAATGAGTAGGAGCATGGTAAGACTGTTGGGTTTATATCAGGTTTCATCACTTACTAGATATGCAACTTATTAGAGAGGGAAAGAGATGCTGTCTGCTGCTTCACTTCTCATATGCCCACAGTACCTGGCCAAAGTCAAGAGCCCAGCACTCCAGTTAGCTTCCCCCACGAGACAGACTTCCTAAAATATGCGTTAGGAGGAAGCTGAATCTCAAATGAGGGTGGGGCTCAATCCTAGACATTCTAATAAACTGTGTGGCCATCTCCAGTGATTGCTTAAGATGATGTGTCACAAAGCCCACTCTGTGACTCCAAGTATTAAAAATGCCTAAACAAAAATATTTCTGGGCCTGGTGTGGTAGCCTGAAGGCTGGAGTCTTACATGCCCTAGCATCCCATATGGCACCAGTTCTAATCCTGGTTGCTACACTTTGCATCCAGCACTCTGCTGGTGGCTGGAAAAGCAGTAGAGGACAGCTAAGGCCTTGAGACCCTGCACTTGCATGGGAGACCTGGAAGAGGCTCCTGGCTCCTAGCTTCTGGCTTTGGATTGACTCAGCTCTGGCTGTTGCAGCCGCTTGGGGAGTGAATCAGTATACAGAGGATTTTTCTGTCTGTATGGCCTTTTCTCTGTGTGTCTGACTTTCTAATAAAAATGTCTTTTAAAAATTGGAAATAAGACTTTCCAAGCACAGGCAGCTTAGTTTAATTTTTTTTAAATTTATGCATATATAGTATTGTCTATCAGCTCTTCTTCAGATTTGGAGGCAAATTATGCATTTTTATAATGTTAATGCAAAACTATTGAGAATTATTTGCATGAGATATGTGAAATAAATTGGATACACCAATATCTGAGCAATGGATTTTGAAATCAAAATAACATAGAAGGAAATATCTTTGCCCTTCAGTGCCTAGAATGAGAGCAGGAATCCTGACAAGGGAAAAGGGAAGAAGGCAAACCTGATGCCTTGCCATCTCCATGTATTCTCACGTGGTGTTCTTATGTCTAAAAGGACTTCCCAGTTTTCTGGAGAAAAACCTCTGCATAACTTTCTTTTAGAGTTATTTCTTGACCCACAATTAAATTCTTCTTGCCCTTTTTAACCTTGGCTGTAACAGGTGTTATAGAGTTTGAATCACTGTAAATCTGTTAGATACTAATATCACCTGTCTCATCCATGTTTCTATCCCATTTCCGTAGATATTCACTGGCATAAAATAACAGATTAACAGATGGCGAATTAATGGGTGAAATGAGGAATATTGTTAGAAAATAAATTAGGGGTAAAATTAAGAATTAGTAGTCATTCGTGATATTTTCCATGATGTCAGAAATGAAAGTGGCATAAAGGAAAGAATGAACCTCTGAAATTAATTTTTTATGTTTGTGTCTAGTTTAACAAGTGAGATACAAATATCCATAACAAAATAGACAAGCAGGTGAGCCAACTTATGCTTTCTTGAGTTGGCAGAATGTGTCTTGATTAGTTTTTGAGAGTGCAAATCATGTTTTGTAAGCCACATTTAGCACAATATGTGTCACATAGGAGCAATGAACAATAGCTAAGTTGCTGAATAAACACTGATCAACATTAGTTTATTTCAATATCCATCTTAAATGCCACTCCCTCTGTGCAGCCATCTATGATTCTCTTTCTTTTCTCCAGGAGGGTAGATCCATCCCTTTCTCTTTTCTCTAGAAGCCTTTATTCATGCCATGCATTTCAGAAAATTCATGGGAGATGCATATTATGAGAAAAATTCTATGTATACATTTAATTTTTTTCAAATTTCATAGCCAAAGAAATAGACACCGGGGAGAGCTCCCATCTAATGCGTTATTTCCCACATGCCCACAACATT